TTCCACAGTTTTAAAATATAAAAAATACCTAAAATATAGAAACCTCCCCCCCTTTAATTCTAGATTCAAATGGATTCAAATAAAATAAAAACAGTAACACTGGGTACAAGTTGGGATGTTTGGGAAATAGAAGTTTTTGTTTGCATGTATGTAAGCATTTCTGGTAACCACTAATGTCTACTTTTCTCATTAGAATGAGAGATTTGGTGGTCCTTGTGTATAATTCAGAATATTACCATACCAGAGACATTCTTTACAGCCCTCTTTAGTGAAAGGCATTTTCTGCCACTGATTTCTAGGCTAGGAATTGGGTGGCATTTTCTAGTTCCTAGTTTGGCTGCTGTAGAAGGAATTGGAGAATGTTAGCAAGAACATAGTATAATAATTGTCACAAGAGGCTAGAAGGGAACAGGGTATATTTGAAGAAAATGAAGAGGTCAAGAAGTAGAGGTTTTGATGGAGAGAATGAGAATGGAAATGAGTGAAGAGCTTGAATATCAGAGAAGCTCAAACTGATCCCGTAGAGGGCAGGATTCCTAGCTGGTGCTCCCCTGTTACCTTGTTTCCCAGCATTTTGCTTGAGATACTTGCAATGGGTAGTGGTAGCCTGAGCCATAGCTCCCACCATGCTTATGATATGGGCACAAGGGGCTTCCAAGTGACTTATGAGTAAGTACCCTGTCAGGACCAAGCCTTGATGTCAAATTCTGTTTGCATTTATATTAACCAGATTTAACTACATGCCCTCACCCAGTAAAAAAGGGTGGGTAAGGAACAGAAAAGCCATTAAAAAGTTGAGGCTTAGCCAGGGTTGAGCGTAAATTGCAAAACTGTAATTTGATGTTCCTGTTTGGTTGCCATTTATATGAGCAACTCACTGAAGAGTGATTATAGAATTTATATGCTGAACAAATACCTTTTATATGAATTGCATAACTGCACATATTGTGCATTTCTAATATAAATATGGTGGTAGGGTCGATTGTTTACATAAAACAAGTTTTAATTTTGTAAAAGGTGAGTTTTCATTTGACTTTAAAGTCCCAGGTAAATGGGACTTCAATCCCATTTAAAATTAAAACTTGTTTAATTTTTTACAGGGTAAGTTTTCATTTGACTTAAAGAGTCCCACGTAAATGGGACTCCAGTCTAGTTTAGAAGTCTGTGCTGTCTTGTTTGGCTCTGCTAAGGTTCAGGGACTTTTTTTTTTTTTTTGAGATAGAATCTCACTGTGTCTCCCAGGCTGGAGTTCTGTGGCGTGATCTTGGCTCACTGTAGCCTCTGCTGCCCAGGTTCAAGCAATTCTCCTGCCTCGGCCTCCCAAGTAGCTGCGATTACAGGTGCCTGCCACTGTGCCGGGCTAGCTTTTGTATTTTTAGTAGAGACGGGGTTTCACCATCTTGGCCAGGCTTATCTTGAACTTCTGACCTTGTGATCCACCACCTGCCCCAGCCTCCCAAAGTGCTGAGATCACCGGCGTGAGCCACCGCACCCAGCCGGTTCAGGGACTTTTGGTCACATATTTCAGACTATTTTAGGAAGATGAGGGCAGTGCCACAAAAAGTAGATGAAAGATTAGTTTTGATAGGGAGACTTGTAATCAGGGCCCGGACTCTTACAGCAGGAGGTAAAGGAAGCAGTGAAAAGCATTCATATTTGAGCCTCAATCTGTTTCTTTGCCCTTAGAAAATTTATTAATTTGTTAAGGACTAATACTGAAGTTTGGGAATAGAAGTGTCCTTAGTGTTGTATTTCTCCAAAATTTAGGATTTGTGTATAAATGCGAATTTTCTTTGGTTAATGTGTTAAATTTTCTTTGCTTCTACAAAATTCATTTTGCTCCACTGGTAAAGGTAACTTAGTAATAATGCTGGAATTGTAAGGAAAATTATGGTTTACTATTGTCATTTTGAAGTTACCATATTGCAGGTAAACATTAAGACCTAATTATTAGATGATACTGAACTTGAAAATAATTTGAGGAAAACTGATCAGTTTTCATATAAGTTTTTAAATTTCTTGAGTTCTTCAAGGGAATTTGTTGAGCACCATTATTTATAGACACATATACTCTTATATATTGTGCTGTATTATGTAGATTCAGCTATAGTGCTTAACCTTATTAATGTGATTCCTATAAAATTAATGAGTTACTAAATTGCTATAGATGGGTATGTGTATGTTTATAAACACCATGCTATATTATGTAGGTTCGTCTATATATAAGTGCTATAAAATTTCCTATGTCCAAAAAAATTAAAGATGTATCACCAGATGCTTCCTTTGGCCAAAATAAAATTACAGTAATGTTCCCTCTAGGTGCTTGCCTTTGAGCAAGTCTTCCCTGGGAACCCTCAAGACACCATACTTTGTCACCAATCTACATGCCTTTTTTGCACACTTTTATTCTTAATCCTGTTTCGTTTTCTACCTTTAAGTCCTGAATTTGCCTCTTTTTGATTTTGCGCTTTATCCCTTTTGGAAATTTTCTTTTTCCCACCACCACATTGCATCCTCTGAACCAAGAGTGGAGTTAAACTATATGGAGTCTTCCCAGCCATGTGTCACTGTTTTTGCCCTTTGTTGTCAACTGTGCTTGTGAAGAGAACTGATTAATAATTTTACTGATTGGTTTGGACATTGCCTTCTCATAAAGAGAAATTACCAGCTTCTGAGTCTGGCCACCTTACCATTAGTTCATTTTTTCCCATCTCTGGTAAGGAACAAATTTTGGTAATTTTTGCATTTGTATTACAAATGTCTGACAAACTTGTGGTATGCAGGACCCTGAAAACTTACCAGCATTTTTTAAAATGTCCGAACTGTCCATTGTAAATTAGTACCTCCAAAACTGCAGGGTGACTTTGCTCTACGTTCGCTCGCCGTCACCATCACCTACTCCTCATCAACGCAAATCACATTCACCTATATATATGCCTTGGAGATGGCTAGGTAGCCCGAGTTTGGTCCTATCCAGAGGTGGAAGAACCTCTCAGTGGAAACTTGTAATGAAAACCTGGTAGCTTTTTAAGTTAGTATCCACTTACTTTGATCAACCAAAAGGGAAATGATTCCTTACTCTCCACTCCAAGGGTACATCAGATAAAAAGTTGTATCTGTCCCATCATAATTAATATAGAAATGTTTTTTATTATCTGATACTTTAAAAGTCTAGCTCTGCAAGAGTTTATCTTAATACCCATAACTACCTTGTCAGAATAGTATGTCCAAGGCATCTATCTTTTGCTTAGAAACCTTCGTTTGCTAGTATGGGAACTGGTAATTTTTAAAGTCATGTAGCATTTTCCAGATTATTTTTTTTAATGTCTTGCTAATTGCTGTTTTCATTTTAAAATTATTTTTCCTCAGAAACCCACAATCTGCCAAAGCAACCTCCACTTGCCCTAGCAATGGGACAGGCCACACAATGTCTAGGACTGATGGCTCGATCAGGAATTGGATCCTGTGCATTTGCCACAGTGGAAGACTACCTACATTAGCTATGCATTTCAAGAGCTCACACTTATATTGTGGCATATAGTCAATATGGAAGTAGACCGGCTCTGCTGATTTGAAATTTAGATTTTTTAAATTATGTACTGGGGACAGGTTTTTGTCGCTTTACATTGCTTCCTAGTTTACAGCATGATGCAAATGATTTTCTAACTTAGTGTTAGGAGAAATTATTTTCCATCTTTAACCTCTTAGTTGTCTAAGAGTTAAATATTACTGAATTTCAGACGTTCAAATTGATCATCACAAATCCTTTAAAATAATTACCTAAAAGAAACCAAAAATCCTGCCTTCTTTGTGGGGGAGGGGGGAAAGAGGGGAAGGAAATGGAACAAGTTGTGTTTGTGTTAGCATGTGGGTGATGTAAACTTCAAATTGGGAGATGTTCCAACCCTCACTCCCATATAAGCATTCAATCAGTGTAACTTGCAAAATGCATAAACATCCGACAGTTTGAATTTATAGTGTTGATGGAAGAAATCATTTTTAATGTGTACTGTAAAACTTGAAATACTCAGGAGCTGAGTGAATATGTTTGTTGCTACTTACAATCCCAACCTGTTAGTCCCAGTAGTTTTGTTTTAACATGGTCTTTTTCAGCTTTGTTTCCTGTTTAACTACAGATGACTTCTGTTGTAGACTCACAAGTTTAACTGTTGTATTATAACAGTATTACATGTCAACGGTGTGGTTATGACCTTTATTTATATAAAAACCAAATATTTAGTCAATTTACCGTGTCTTAATTTAATCTTTGTACACCTTCCATTTTTAAGTGCTTAAATGAGTACTATATTGCAATAAAATGTAGTGATATAATTAACCAGCCATTAAAAATTTACTTCTACAGATACAGTGTCAACTGAGTTTATATATTAGATACTTGTATACTTTTTATGATTAATATGAAAATTAGAACAATTAAAATTAATGGTTTCTACAGTTAATCTGAGTTCTACAACCTAAAACTGCCTTCAGTTTACTGGCATCCCTGGATTAGGGTTAAACCTGATACTGTGGGTGACACAGAAAGGCAACAGGAAATTAACTTCATTATTTTCATATTAATAATATGAGGTATGAGACTCGCCAGGCAAGCAAATCCCCAGACTGGTTGAAAGTTATGTTAGTCGACTGTATATTGTGCACTGAATCTTTAAGAACAAACACCTTAAGGGCTACAGTTAGAGACTTTTCTGGAATGTCCATTTCTCATTTTTGTCCTTGCCATTCTTGCCCCCTCGCAACCCCTCAAGGGGGCAGAGTAGAAGAAGTACTGTTGCTGATGTGGGTATGGCTTGAATTCAGTTAAATATATTAAAAAGAAAACAATTCCTTCTTAAACTTTTTTCCTCTAGGATTGCCAACACAAGGCACAGTTCTCCAGAAGAATGAAATGTGGTTGAGTACTCCCTCAAATAAGTTTATGATTCTTATAGTGATCCTTTAAAATGATTTGTGAATGATTTATTAAATTCTATACATACAGATTCTTCATTTAGCTTTGATTTACTTCTTAGTTTTCATCTTTCTGACCATCCACCGTCTTTTAAACCTCTTGGCATTTTGTTTTTTCTGGATTCCTAGAACAGAAAGTTTTGTGCAGTAAGAATATTAGAGAAACGTAATTCAAAATGTTTTTATAATTATATGAATGTAATTACTAATACTGGGCGGGCTTATTAGATCATACATTATATATATACATACATTGACCTATTTTTCACAAGTAATATATGAGCTGGTATAAGGGGGAAAAAGTATAATTATGCACTATCTCCTTCAAAAGAACATTATTCAACAAGCTATTAGAGACAGGAGAACAAAGCTGGATCTTACCCCAAGCATTATTCAAAAACTGGACAGCAGCCCTTTTTACTGGTAACCTCTTGTTAGCAAGAGACAGGAACTTATTTACTAGAAAAGAAAGGTATTATCATTTCATTGTTTTATTTGCAGTAAAAAGTGAGAAAAATAGTCCATAAAAAAATTACCTGTAGTCCTGTTAGTTCCTGGCCCATATAAAGAATTATGGATGAAGGCTTGCGCTGCTTGTTGTCTTGCCTCTCTCAGATCTTGGTCTTTCAGCCTGACAGCCAGGTAGCTTTTATTCTGGCTGTTGATCAATATAAAAGGTTAAAATAAATGAAAATTATACATGCTTATTTTTTTTTTTTCCCCTGAGATGGAGTCTTGCTTCATCGCCCAGGCTGGAGTGTGCAGTGGTACGATCTCAGCTCACTGCAACTTCTGCCTCCCTGGGTTCAAGCAGTTTCCTGTCTTAGCCTCCCAAGTAGCTGGGGTAACAGGCAACTGCCACCACACCCAGCTAATTTTGTATTTTTAGTAGAGATGAGGTTTCACCCTGTTGGCCAACTGGTCTCGAACTCCTGACCTTGTGGTCCGCCCACCTTGGCCTCCCAAAGTGCTGCTCTTACAGGCATGAGCCACTGCACTCGGCCTACCTGCTTGCTTTACAAATAAAATATTTTTGTCATTTGTCTTACAGTGATAAAACTAATTTTGTGTATGCAGATAGGATAAAACTAACTTACAGGACTTTAAGAAACAGACTAACACTCATATTTTAGTAGAGCACATTCTTGGTTTTTTTTGGATCAACTAAACAATGTGCCTTTCAGATGTACTTAACTGAAGAACATGTCCCTGGACATTTATACTAAAAAATACTCAAACAGAAAGTCATAACATTAATTAACAGGAAATTTTTCTGATACACATAATAAAAGAGAATAAAAAGCATGATTTCCAAATCAATTGTGCCACATAAATTTGGCCAAATGAAAGTCCAACATATTGTGATGAATTCCTCGCAGGGTCTTGCACTTTGTTTTATGTTTGTTTCTATATTTGATCTTGTGGCCAAAACACCGAGCAAGTGATATCTGGACCACCAACCTGTATTGAAAGCAGCTTAGAACGGATGCCGGAGGCCGGGCGCGGTGGCTCACGCCTGTAATCCCAGCACTTTGGGAGGCCGAGGTGGGTGGATCACAAGGTCAAGAGATCGAGACCATCCTGGTCAACATGGTGAAACTCCGTCTCTACTAAAACTACAAAAAATTAGCTGGGCATGGTGGCGCGTGCCTGTAATCCCAGCTACTCAGGAGGCTGAGGCAGGAGAATTGCCTGAACCCAGGAGGCGGAGGTTGCGGTGAGCCGAGATCGCGCCATTGCACTCCAGCCTGGGTAACAAGAGCGAAACTCCGTCTCAAAAAAAAAAAAAACAAAACAAAACAAAAAAACGGATGCCGGTGTACTTCAAGACAGACATTACAAACACGTCCATGGTATGGACCAAAATTTCAGTAACAGCAATAGCCACTTTCTCTGTGACTTCTGTAGACCGTACGAATAGAAGATAAAGCCATGTTGTCAGGGAAATGTTGAATTTTGTGAAAAATGACTCCTTTTGAAGAACTGCCATGATTGGCAACAGTAGTGAACACCTTTCCATTGGAATGGCTGTCTTCACATTGGCACCATGCACCATAAAGGTTGGTGACTAGAGGAACATTCAGAAGCCAGATAAATTACACTGCCTCAAAAAGTCCAGGCTGGCAAGTTTGGAGTGCTGACAGTAGGCTGCAGTGTATCCTGAAATAAACTATCTATCTATTGGGAGAGGTGAAATGAAAATTTTCTCAATAATAAAACCACTAAAAAAAGGTTTTTGAACTTAACCTGCAGCACCTGAAGGTCAAAGTATTCAACTGATCTTTTTTATGAAAACCGATTTTTTTTTTGAGCCACGGTCTCACTCTGTCGCTCAGGATGGAGTGCAGTGGCGCAATCTTGGCTCACTGCAGCCTCTACCTCCTGGGCTCAAGTGATCCTCCCACCTCGGCCTCTGGAGCAGCTGGGAATACAGGTGTATGGCAGCACGCCCAGCTTACTTTTAAAATTTTTTATAGAGATGGTTTTACCGTGTCACCCAGACAGGTCTTGAAATCCTGGACTTAAGCAATCCACCTGCCTCAGCCTCCCAAAGTGCTGGGATTACAAGTGTGAGCCACCACGCCCCAAACTGATCTTTCCAGAGAGTCCAATCTGAAATTAATAACTAATTAAAATATTTTCCCATGTTAGCCAATACTTTAACTCTCTTAAAGGTCACCTTTACATCCCAAATGAAACAAAAGACTCATTACCTGACAGACTGTACTTTCTGTACTTTAACTTTCTTGGAGTCATTTCCTTTTTCACAGTCTTCATTTTTCTTTTGCAAATTAACTAAAAAAATGAATTAAATTTTCTAGTTAGAATTCATGTAAAAATCAGGAAATTTGCTGGAGTTCACTTGAAGCATCCACTACACACCAATGTGGATGCAGTTTTTATCGGTATGACATACAGGGAACAGGCTCTAGCTAACCCTCCTGGCCAGGCCCCTGCTGTCTAAGGGCCATCCATATTTGACTGGAAACATCTGAAGTGCACTTGACACTTACATGAGAAGTTACTTAAATCAGCATAGTCATACCTTCTTTTACCTTTCCTGGCGATTTCTTTATGCTAAGGGAAAAAAAACAAAACCAATGACTGGAATGGCAGATGGCAAAGGTTACTCAAAACAAGTTATACTGTTTCATCTGGCTTTACAAGTAAGACACCCCCTTTCATTACCAACATCTCCATTTCTACTCAGGAGCTCTCATCACTTTGGAAAGCAACAGTCTCTCCCCGGTACACTGCCACCAACTCTCAAATCAACAAACCAGTATCACTAGGATTGGAAGATCTTAATTCAGATCTGAAAGCCTATTAGCAGGCTTTAGAAGCAGCAAAATGCTATGGGCAATGGAATTAACGTGAAACACTTAAGTTACACAGTATTTGAAATATGACGTCAATGGTAGTAGGCCTGCTTCATTTCATTTGGGGAAATCACAAAGGATTAATTGAATAGTTTAGGCACAGGAGACAGGGAATAGCCTCAAGGGGTTTGTGGTCCAATGGAGAGAGAAATGTAAACACACAGAATAAAATACAGAAGAATACAATACAGAAGTGCTTGCACAGAAGAAAGGCCACACCGAAGATGGCAGTGATGGGAGGTGGGGTTGGCAAATGAGAAGGCAGAGGTGACACTTGAGCTTGGTTTTAAAAGATGAAAGGGAACTTTGCACCAAATAGATTTGTTTTTATGTTTAATGTATTAAAGTTCTGAGTAACTTTTTGGTAAAGATTTTTTACTGAAAATTTGAGAGTGGCTAAGTGGCTAAATTTCTAAATTTAAAACATTAAGGGGAAAGAAAGAGGATAGAAAAAAATATACAAATATTTAGAAGGCTAAATTTAGTAGGGTTTGACTGATTTCCAAGGACAACTATAGCTTTTGGCTTTAAACCATAAAACACCAAAGTTGCTAAATGAAGTGAGGAACAGGGAGGAAGGACAGGTTGGTGGCAGGTAAGGCAAGTATGAGACAAATCGAATTTTCAGAGAAGTGATACAGTTCAAAACACTTTTTATTCACCACCATCTACTCTGCCCTAGTATAATGACATGCAGTCAACAAAATGTACTGAATGAACACAATGGGATCAGGAATTCAAAACCCAGTTATGGGAATGAACAAAAATGAATGGCAAAATAAGAAGTGAAATGTTACCTCTGTCTTTCCCACCAAATTCAGATACCAAGGTAGCTGTTAAATCTACGGTTCCTTCAGTTATTGGATTCAAATAAATGTACCGGTATATAATTCAAAGATAAATGTATATAAGCAAGTAATATAAGAAGATTACTTACTTAGTCTGGGAAGCTGTGGTTAACTTCTCTAAAACAGTGTCTGGAAGGAGTTTTCTTTTCTTAGGAATGAAAACGTTTAAAATTAATAAAAAGTCATGTACACGATACGTCCAGAGTTGCTTCTGAAGTTACCACATATAAGAATAGCCCTACATCTAGGCAAAGAAACGAATTAGGCTGGATACTGCCCCGCCACCTCCAAGCTATGGGATTGGGTCCACAAAACTCAGGACCTATTCCATGAAAAGTGGAAAGGGTGCTCACGGTATTCTAACCCTCAGGTCACTGCTGTAAATTGAAACCAGTTAAGTTATATCCACTTGGAGCCAGTGCTCTGTGGGGAGTGTGTATTAGACAGCAAAGCAACCATACACTATGTCTGTCCAGCCCTTACAGTTTACAAATCACCTCATTTAATTTTCACAGCAACCTCCTATTTTCAGTTGGTAGACAGTAAAGAAGACAGGCTTTTTTTTTTTTTTAAGATTGAGATAGGGTCTCGCTCTGTTGCCCAGGCTGGAGCGCAGTGGTGCAATCTCGGCTCACTGCAGCCTCTACATTCCGGGCTCCGCCCACCTCGTCTCCCTAAAGTACTGCCAGGCCCAGGCCGAGCATCTTTCCACCACTGTCAGAGGACAACTTGGTGACTCTTTTCCCCACTCCAATATCCTACCAGCCCAAATTACAACCAACACGGGAATCCTCCCAAAGCCGGGCTGTTAAGAAGCCTCCTCCCTATCCTCCAACCTTTTGTTCGATGAACAGCTCCTCGCGTCGCTTCCTCTTCTCCTTCAGGAGCGTTTTATCCCTAGGAGGAAGTGTGACAAGTCAGCAAAGGTAAGGACATGAGGGACGAGAAGGGGCTGTTCTCCCCGCCCGCCGCGGGCTCCGAACCTGCGCACGGTCTCCCGCACTCGCCGCTCCTCTTCTCTCGCTTCCGCCTGGGCGCTGGCGAAAGTCAGCTCCTCCGGGGCCTCGTCGTCAAACTCCTCGTCTCCCTCCTCGTCTTCCTCTAGCGGCTCGGCGGCCGCGCCGCTGCTGGGCTGCCCGAGCAACAGCCCGTGCTCCGCCTCCTCCTCCGAGGCCGGCTGGCCCTCGTCCACCATCGCCTCCGCGGACACTGGGGCGCGAGACGCGCGCGGCCGAAGCTGCACCATGGCCTACGCGCTGAACTGTCTGACCTCTGACCCGGAAGCAGCTACAAGCTGAGCGCAAGCAGACTTTCATCGCCCCCTGCAGGTTCGGAGGCTCTCAGGTCGGGGCGCAGGCGAGGAGCGGGGGCGTGGCCTATGGCCAGTAGGCGTGTTTCTTTACACGTGGCCTGCGGAGGCCACCCGCGAGCCGGTTGGGTCCCACTGAAAATGTTCTGCCGGCGAGAGCGGCCGGCGGTGGGGTTGGTTTCAAGGCAAGGAAGAGCCATCGCGCTGTCCTCCTCGGCCGGGATGGCGAGACAGGGCTGATGCGACTCACGCAGTCCGGTGCTCGGAAAACGGATAACCGCGGGCCTGGGACCCTTCTCGCCGCCGTTTTTTGGCCCTGGGTTCCGCCCAGTGGATCCAGCTTGTCGGTGTTTGCAGATTCGGCGGGGTTCGCTCCGCACTTCGGAGGAGGTGGCATTTCATGGGAAGAAACACACTTTAGCAGATCCCGCTGTCATCGTCGGTGACGCGGGCCACAGACCTCGACTCAAGAAGTCTGCACAGACGTGCCGGGCGCCCTCAGCCTGCCCAGCCCGCGGCCGCGGCGACGCGTGTTAGGAAGTCAGCCCTGTGGAAGCGGCGCCCTTCCTGGTGCCGGGCTGGCCCGTGGCAAATGCTGAGCAAACCTGAAAGAATGGCTTCGCCGTTCCCTAGAGTGCACCTAGAGGTTTGTGGTACATACACAAACGTACGCTTTTTTTCCAAGTATATTTTATTTCTTGACAAACATGACGCTTTGTAATCGCCGTGTTTCTCTCCTCCTACCCATTATACAATACTAAATGATTCATCATTCTTTGAACAAATCAAGCTGTTTCACACCTGCCATGCATTTGTACCGACTGTGCTCTTCCCTCCACTGCTGCAGTCCTCCAGGTAGAAGTCCTTTTTTTTTGAGCCGGAGTCTCGCTCTGTCACCCAGGTTGGAGTGCAGTGGCGCAACCTCAGCTCACTGCAACCTCCGCCTCCCAGGTTGAAGCGATTCTCCTGCCTCAGCCTCCTGAGTAGCTTGGATTACAGGCGCCCGCCACCACGCCCGGCTAAGTTTTGTATTTTTAATAGAGACAGGGTTTCACCATGTTGGTCAGGCTGGTCTCAAGCTCCTGACCTCAAGTGATCCACCTGCCTCGGCCTCCCAAAGTGCTCGGATTACGGGTGTGAGCAACCGTGCCCGGCCCAAAGTCCTTTTTATACTTCAAAAATTCCCACTCAGGCGAACTTCGGGCACCTTACCCCCAACCCCATCCCAGTCTGCCCATCTCTACTGTTCTCTTCCTTCTTTGCACGAGTTCCTGTTGTGAGTTGCCCCTTGTTCACTGAGGTAATGTAGCCAAACAAGGTTAAAGAGCCCCCAGTAAAGCCATATCCTGGGGTAACGTCTTTATACAATAAATTACCTACTGTAGAGAGTGATTTTATTTTCTACTGAAACGCATGCAAAAATCACAATTAAAAGGTTTTTACCCCTCGACTTCTACCTTGCCCAAATAACAAAAATATAGCCAGGATAACTGTATTTTTTAAGACAATCTAATTTACTAAATTTTTCCCTCTCAATAATCAACCACACACATCAAAGATATCTTACTTTTCAGTTCAAACCAAATAATATGCATTAACTTTACAGTCCTGTAACTTCCAAATGTGGGTGCTCTTGCTACTTCCAAACCCCCATCACTTATCAACAGGTTGGATTCCAGCTAGGGAATAACAGGGTATTTTTAGATTGTTCAATATTCAGCTCACCAGCCATAAGACCATTTCTTCTCTGCGTGTGGCCTAGTTCTTAGATATAATTGCCTTCTTCCCGAGGACACTTAAGAAATAGTTTAATTTTCATGAGGGGCAAGGGCTTCAGGAAGAGTCGTTCCACAGGGTCCCTGGAAATGAAACCTGAAACAGAAGAAGCAAATACAGCAGTTATGAACTACACATTAGCAAAATAAATGCCCTACTTCAGCAAGCACTGATTTCTTAAGTGATATCCAAAGTAAAACCCACATTCTCAAGTACGGCAGATTGAATTTTTATGCCCACTTCTTTCATCTAGTTTCTGACAACTCCAATTATAACACTTCACTATGGACTGGCCTCTGTTACTATGGGAATTTTGAGAAGCAATTGTCTAGAATGTATGTGCCATAAAGAAGAATTTTATTTCAAGGCTTAAGAGACATGATTGCAAAGTGTATTTTGTTTTTTCAAATCCTGAGAACCTGTGCAAGTGAAGTGTATTTGGGGACTATATTGTCAAACTCATTGAAATTGTAAGTTTAGAATATACATATATATGTGTTACAGATATATTTTATATAGATATATATGTTTTATGTGTATATATAACGCATGTGTTTGGCATGTATATATATACACACACTACTTTTCTGTGTATTTATATACACACACACACAGAGAAAAAATGTTTTTTGTGTGTATATGTATTTTGTGTTACATATATATATATATATATAAAACATTATAGCAGCATTCGCAGGTAGTACTGAGGACAAGAGAAAAAAATACTTGTGCACATCAGACCACCAGGATTTCGGCTGAGTCAACAAGCCTCTCAAACCACCCGTTTGATTTTGATGAGCCTCTGAGCTGTAGTTAGAAAGTAGAAAAAAGAGAAAGAAGAAAAACAAAGGAGAAAAAAGAAAAATCATGGACTTTTGTTTCCTCCAAGGAAAACCACTTTGGGAAGGGGGGGAAAAAACTATGAATAAGAAGCAAAACCAGGACTTTCTAGTGCATTACTAATAAGAAAACCAGTTGAGCACAATTAAAAATGGAAAAGGCATTTCCTCAATGCAATTCATTTATATTATTTATTCTTGACAGAATACAAATCGTGACTGCCTTAGCCCTCAAATGCCCTGTTCTGTCAACAGAGTGCCACTTAATGGATAGCCCAGACTACACGGTATCTCCAGGCCGTCTACCCTCACCGCCCACTGCCACATGCTAAGCACTGACTTCCAGAAAGCTCCTGGCCAGTATGTGGTTATCCAGGAATTACCGCCAGGCGTGGGGAGTGTTTAGGGAATTCCCAGATCCTCAGTTGCCACCTCTTCTCTTACTTAAGAAAATGATCTCAAGTGCCCCTTTCCACATTCACCTTTCTTCCACCTTACAAAAGCAAGCTGCACCCCTCACCCATCTCAAATTTTACAATGATACCTCATCCTCAAGTGTGAAAACATATGGGGTGCCAAATAGAGGGGCATCTGGAATACCAGTGTAGCTCTGACACATTCATATGCAAGTAGGGTGCTTTCATTCTTGCTTTCAATAAAGTTGAAAGAGGGTCCAAAAGTATTTTCAGTGAACAGATCGCTAAATATGATACAAAATTACTCTGTGTATTCTGGCATATAACTTGGAAGGTGGTCCAAAATGGCAAGGCTATACCAACATTTCTTTCATGGCCGGGCACAGTGGCTCACGCCTGTAATCCCAGCACTTTGGGAGGCTGAGGTGGGAGGATGGCTTGAGGCTAGGAGTTTGAGACCAGCCTGGGCAACCCAGCAAGATCCTGTCTCTACAAAAAGTAACAGTAAAAACAGCCATTCGTGGTGACACGAGCCTGTAGTCTCAGCAACTCAGGAGGCTGAGGCAAGAGGATCACTTAAGCGAGGAGTTCGAAGCTGCAGTGAGCTGATTACACCACTGTACTCCAGCCTGGGTGACAGAGGGAGCCCCCATCTCTTAAAAAAAAAAATAACTCCCTCATGCCCAGAGTTTAGGTGGCCCAGGTCTCTCAGCACTTACATCTATAAAAAGCAAACACTGGAGGGGCACGGTGGCTCACTCCTGTAATCCCAGCACTTTGGAAAGGCCAAGGCAGGTGGATCATGAGGTCAAGAGATGAAGACCATCCTGACCAACATGGTGAAACCATCTCTACTAAAAATACAAAAATTACCTGGGTATTGTGGTGCACACCTGTAGTCCCAGCTATTCAGGAGGCTGAAGCAGGAGAATTGCTGGAACTCAGGAGGTAGAGGTTGCAGCGAGCCGAGATCGCGCCACTGCACTCCAGCCTGGCAACAGAGCAAGACTCCGTCTCCAAAAAATAAAAGCAAACACTGAACATTCCAATTGACATTGAAAAAGTAAAACTTAGCTTTGCTGGTCAAAATCTGCCTAGCGATTCTTTGGATTGGAATAAAAGACATGGGTAGAGCCGGCTGTAAAGTTAATAGGAAACAATGTTTTTCCCCCTAGGATAAGCTGCAAAATGTCTTAATTCCATTCTTTGAGTGACTACTGCCTTTTGACTCACTGAAGAATTTTGTTCCTTAATATTATAAACTATCAGAAACTTTGCTATTAGAAATTATTACAGTAAAGAATGAAATATTCCTCTAGCCTTGAGGATCTATAAGTCACTTTGATACCGAGAAGCAGCCTAGATTTCCAACCCAGGTGCAGAGCTTCAGATAAGGGGTTTCTGGACACAACATTCCACATCTGTCTAAACTCTGTATCGCAGTTTCTGGGGAAATAGGACCCTGGCCTACTCCGCCAGCCAGACATGATGCTGACCCCTTTACACTGTACAGCCCTGCTAGTTGCTTGAGTTTCTCAAAAAGGACTTCATTTAAATTTCACTTAAACTCTACCCTCCCCCAACTGCTTTAATAAGTCTACCTTTTCCTTTGTTAGGAAACACACCTCTCAATTCTACTGAGGTGCATTAAAGTCAATAAACCTGATCTCGACAGAATACTGGTTTGTTTATGGTGACTGGAGGAGGACTGGGCTAGAGCAAGAGGAATTGTCTCCTTCCAATAGTATGTAACACTCAGCCATAGAGACATGGACCAATTCAAAGTTGATGTCCCATTCAGCTATTAAGAATGTATTGCCTGGCCGGGTGTGGTGGCTCATGGCTATAATCCCAGCACTTTGGGAGGCTGAGGTGGGCAAATCACTTGAGGTCAGGAGTTTGAGACTAGCCTGGCCCCATCTCTACTAAAAATAC